TTTTTTTTTTTCAAAATCATGCTTGAAAGTTGGGGGTGCGGCTTATACACGAGTTTTTACGGTACTAAGCAACATATGCAAGGCATTGTAACTCACTGCACATTAAGGACTTTACATTTTCCAGCATAAGACCAGCTATTTACCGTACCCTAATGAACCCGCACTACCAGACGAAAACTGGCTGTAAAACTCCACAAGGGTTGGCTAAGAGCGTCGCATTAAATTTTGACAACAGAAAATATGGGAACCCTTACATTCTCTTGATCCTGAGCTGAGGGAAATTCAACTCGAAGAATGATAAACTAATAGACTACTCTTGCAAGTCTTACAGAAACGCCACAGATGATTTTTAATCCAAATTTTAGATGTCGATCTTTTTATTTACAAGCCACGAATGAATCTAAAACCGTCCGATTATGCTGGTTTCGAAAGAAGCTTTCTCGGTAATTCTGGGACTATTTCAGCCCGGATGGCAAATTATGAGTAGTTTTGTATGTCGAAAAGCTTGTATTATGACTCAATTTGCTCATCATGGAAATTTTTTTTGAGTCAACTCTACTCATCAAGTTCTTCTAGAAATTTTAATAAAAACAAATCATTCGTGCTCGTGAATCATGAAAAGCAGCCGCGCTCATTAGATATCCTAATTTTTGGGTTGTGGAAATGCTACAGATGGTTAAAAAATTTAAGGTGGTAACCACATTGTATACCGGTAATCATGGACACGTCAAGTTTATTTCGAAGTTCTCTTTGTAAATAATTGAGTTAACACGTAAATAGGAACCCATCTTCACAACTCATTAAAAATTTATACCAAAAGACTCTCTTTGAAAGGGTTTTTGAATGATTTTGAATGATATGTATAGGTTTTTAACACCTTTTTCTCGTTCATAACCCATATATGGCATTTCTGTTTCTTTTGTCATAGCGCAGAATTTCACGAAACCTTCTTAAACCTCCTTCTTGCAAGTCATTTGTACTGTCAATAGATTTTTCGTTGGCAAGTTTTTCTTCCCTTACTCCAAAATTGGCATTGATATACTGGAAATTTTTTTTTCCATTTGACGCTGCAGTCGCAAACTTGTCAATAAGAAAACTTATCAAGTTACATTTCCTTTATCAATAATAACTCTTTTCGCGCACTCCTAATGGCGACGAAAAAGATCTAACTCGTAGTATTATCAATTTTCCAGGAAAATAGGCGATTAAGAGAAAAGAAGCTAGCAAATAAACGATTTTGTTTTTTTTTAACGTTAGAATTTCACAGCTGAATTACGGAGAAATGTTTGACAGACAGCGCGCAGAGGTGAACGATTTAGAACGGCGTACGTTTGATACAATGGTTTCCACGATTGCAATACGAGTAACATGAAAATTTTTTAGGCCTTGTGATTTCGGTGATATCTGCGATATCGTTTCAAGGCACTCAGCTTTAGCTGAGGATTTCACGTGAGGCCTACTTTTACAAACTGAATATTGAAAATTTCTTGTGATTGTAAAACAGAGAATTTTTTCTGGATGAATCAGGTTGCCTTAGTTATAAACCCAAACTACTGGGTGTTACTGGCAAGCTTAGATGTAATTAAATGCTCATTGTGCAATCAGTTCATCAGAAACTAGTCAGAAAATGATGCCCCATTGGAGTTACGGGTAAAGTAAAGAGGAAATTAGATCACAGGATTTTATAACTAAAACAACTCTAAACCTGATGTTTGACTCGTATTCCCTTCCGCTCTCATAAAACTCAATCATAGCACTGAGACATCCACTGTTGCAGAAACAAAGGGAAGTGCTATTTTTAAAGTCAGCAAATTGGGAGCAGCTGGATACGCTTATATTCTATTGGTTGTAGTCAACATTTCAGTATTTCAGTCGCTCACAAGTCAGTCGCATCAGAGGCAAGGCTAAATATCTCACATAAGCGACGACACCTCCACTCAACATGTTTTTTGGTCTCCTTTATCCCCTTCTATTTGAACTCTCTGTTCTAATTCCAGATCCAGCCTTTTCACAAGGTTTGTAAGATGCGTTTATTAATGCGTATCTCTTATTGTTTTCAGTGTGAGAACATTAATGTTGGTAATATTTATTATTTCACAGTAATAATTTAACACAGAATCTGGATAAAAGTCCGATGACCCCTGAATTTCAGCAGTCTTTGTTTTTTGTCACATTTTCACTTGACTAATGGTGATGCGCGTTAATGATCTTTAGAAACTTCTTTCAACAATTTGCTTTATAACTGATAACTTGGGACGCTGTTGAATGGCACAATCTCATTGTTTAATTAGATTCCTTTATATATATATCTGCTGTTGCAGAGTTGTATAATTGAAGTCAATTTGTTCAGCACCTCAACTTGGTTAAATGCAAATAACACTCCATCACTCCACATTGAAAATTTTTTTTCAAGACTAAGCTAAAACATTGTTTGAAAAAGCCTTTATTCAACTTCAAGTTAAATTCTAAATGTTTCCAAAACAACAGCTACACATCTTTAAGACCTGGATAAAATTGCGGAGGTAAACCACAGGCTTTCGACCTCGCCATGCTTTTATTTAAGAAATTTATCAAAGACTTCTAAAATTGGGTTTGCAGAAACATCCGATTCCTATGCCTATAAGGTCATTGATTGATGTTCTACCCTTTTCCGATGGAAAGTTTGAAAGAAATATGTTATAGTCAGGTGATTAATCATGAGAAACGGAAACAACCAGAGCTTTATTTGCAAAATTTTGTTTGAAATGTTACCTCAGTGAATAATGGTATTTTAGTCACTCAGAATACGCGTGTATTTAAGGTGAATGGCGTGTCAGATATTGATAACTGAAAAGGTAAGACAATACAAATTTATGTTTAACAGGTTCCTGAAAAACTTTCGAATGAATTAAAATCGAAGTGACTTGTTGAAATGGCTGCGAAAAATCTATCTACGATATGACTATTTTAAGTGTTCAACGAAGCGATTTTCTTTTTTCACCAAACTAAATTTTTCATATGTTACTCTTCTTTATCTTGCGAAATGTCGCCTGATTTAACCCAACTTGACCGCGGACCTCCCGGGTTGAGTGGCGACAACAGTGGAGGAAAATTGTTAATTAAATTTGACGGAAGTCAAGGGGCTCAACATGTTTAGACAGCTACAAGCTATTGACAAAATAACATCTGTTTTGCTTCCAATTGGCAAAAGTTATGAATTCTAAAATTAAGACAGGTGCGATAATAACAGTGCCACAAGATTTCTTCAACCTTTCAGGGATGACCGCTTAAAATAGATTCCAAAGAAAAGGAGTAATTTAAACAATGATAAAAAAGCGCCATTTATGCCATAATTGACCACTTTTTTCACAAAACCTCGCTCAAAAATATTACTAACGTTCATTTCGAAAGGAAAATATGGATCAAATTTTTCTTGACATATAATTGAGCATTGTCCCGAAAAGAAAGAGAGAGAAAAACACACGGATCAGCTTAAAATATGCTCTTGATACTTCAAAAGATCCCTGGATTTTAAAAATACCTCAATTCTTTCCATCATTCTCAGCTACCTCTTCGCTGTACTCTACAACGTCCTAATACGGCACGAGTACAAATTTTGTTTAAGTTGTAGAGAGGCAGGGGTCACCCCGGAAGTCTTGAAGGGAGTTGGGAGGGAAGGGGGAGGGGGGTGAATGAGAAGAAGGGAGGCTGGTACTGATCGGCCTTGAAACCATTCTTGAAAAAATTTTTTTTCAATATTATTTTTTTAGGGTATGTCTCAAACGTGGCAATGTAGTGAAGCTGATTTACTACTAACCATAGAAAAATGGTTTTTCATCCCCTTAAACAGCGGATTTCGCCAAATGAAGGTTCATAAGAGTAACGTAGATATGAAAAACATCAATTGTCTTGAATGGTATGGGGGGGGGACTGTTATAGGCCACTTCATCATCTCTTGTAACCAGTCAGTTCATTCCCCGCCACTCCTTCCTCTGAGTGCTGCCATCATGTCCTCTTATTACTGAACTGTTCTTCTTTCTCGTTACAGAGTCAAACCCTGTGTATCGCGAGGGCAACCGCGCCTCCTCCACAAGAACCTTTCTGACACGTACATTCATTAAACACGAGTTTCATCACTTGAATGTGCCGCTTGTTGGAACAGTGGCAGTGTCTGATGTGTTTGACTGCACGTTAGAATGTCTTAGCAATCCTTTGTGTTATTCTGTAAACCTGGCCGCCTTCAAAGGAACCCATGGAAAACTTTGGTGCGAATTGTTGTCATCTGATAAGTTCAGAAACTCCACAGAGTATAAAGGGAATAAAAGTTCGCATCATTTTGCCATCGAGGTAGGAAGCATTTCTTAATTTTGACTAGTAAACGTGTTAAAAGTTTGACAACTTTGCCAAGATCGTAGAGAGAAGGAAGTCAGGTTAAAGTTACTGCAAATGGTGTCGGTCTGTTGTCGTTTTCATTGTGGTGACAACCGTATTTCTAGGGCATGTTGCAAAGCATGCATACACTTTCTCGCGCGGCGCACTATCTTACTTACCACCTTTGTTTCCTAGGCGCGTCAGCATACTAAGGAAATACATGTGACTCGGTTGAAAATTTTAGTCAAGATACCAGATTATCTTTATTTAAAGAATGGAATCGTTGTTTACATCGTCAGTATTTGGTCAGCCTTTTTTTCAATTTTGTGTTTTAAAATATTTTATCAACAGACTTCTTCATTTTCTGCGTACGTTCGAAACAGTCAGAAAAGCTTTCCAGACTCATAGATCCCAACGGCTCAGCAATATATTTTTAACCTCATAAAGCCACTTTCTCAAATACCAGCAAAGGCAGAAAACCCGGCCAAAATCTCTATACTATAGATGAAAATAATAATTTTAAAAAAACCTGATAATACTATCATATGAGGTTATCCTTACCATGAAAAATTTCCACTAAAACGAATCCGAACCGGATTGACGGAATAGCGCATCAACCATTTTCCTACTTTGTTTCTCTACAGTCACCTTGCTCTTCATCACCTTGTCAACACGAGGCTACCTGTGTCACTAACTATAGAGATGGCTCATTCGGATGCCGCTGTGCAAAAGGCTTCAAAGGAGAATATTGTGAAAAAGGTGAATAGTTTGGCATGCTTTTGTGACTGATATACATCCAATAGCATTAAATACTATAATTCTCAAGTAACTGCTATGAATTTTTCTACTTAACCTTGGATCTCGAAAATGTTCTAAAATAGCTGACGAAAATATATAACTAACAAATATTTAATGCAATGCATAAAAATTTTGAATCTCTCGATGCTTAAGTTGATTAAGGTGGTCTTCCACTCACATTTTGAAAATTTTTAATAATAACTGGATCCAATCCATTACGGTACCATTGGAAATATCATTCAGAAGTGTCAGGAACTGCACTGGTGATTGACATTTTGTAATCGTGGCAACCAGTTTTCAGGCTCCCGACGGTAAAAAAAGGTACCCATCTGCTAAAAAGAACCAGAGGTCCCATTGAAAATATATAACTAAAGAAACATTTAATACAATGCGCAAATATGTTGAATCTCTCGATGCTTAAGTTGATTAAGCATCTGACTGCGAAACGCTAAGGTCTGAGTTGAGGAACTGAATATATATTTTTATTTTTACTTACTTCCCCTCAGGGACCAATTATCATTAACTACGGGGGAAGGGAGGGGGGTGGAGGATTTTAGAGGATAAACACCGTACTTTTGTTTTTTTTCGTCCATTTAGTTACTGGTTCCTGCAAAGAAGCTTATAACCTCTTTAAGTAAGTGATACCAAATGATTATCTTTTCGAGCATAAAAAAGAGACAAAACTATGGAATAGTTTCGACGCCGAGAGAAGATTTTTCGCCGCAAACTAATATGATCACGAATGGGTTTTTTTTTTTCGTATCAAACAGGTCAAACGCCAGTCAAATGGTCACATTATACCTTGACTCTAAACCAATCACAGTTCTCTGTCAGATGGGGGATTTTGGATGCGGAGATGGAGGATGGACACCTGTAATGAAGATTAACGGCCACCAAGTAAGCCTTCTATGGCGGAATATTCTTGGCGGGGTTTTCATGCGGGTGATGAAGTACATGCAATAAATTTTCAGAAGCGTCAAAACTACGATAGAATCTCTTAATAACTCGCCCATATTCTTCTCGCGGCCCCTGCTTGCGGAAATTCTTTTGGCATGAGTGCTTCAATAACCTAATACCTCAAAAGGCGACAAATTGCCAATTAACCCGCCTGCAAATAGGGTTAGATTGATGGCTTGTACATCAACTGTATTACTGAGTTCATGAGGGTCCTGCCTTTGGTAATGCATCGGGTTATTTACATTTAAGGATAAATTAAATCCTCTTAATTCTCTTTAGGAAACTTTTCACTATGACTCTCTCTACTGGAGTGATAAAAACGAATACAACACCCCCGGCGGGAGGACTGGGTTTGACTCACAAGAGACCAAGTTACCAACCTATTGGAACACACCTCTCTCCAAGATCTGTCTCGGTATGAAGATAAGTGGACAGCTCAGGTTTATTGTCATTAACATGCAGGCGAACTCTCTACATTCACTGATCGCTGATGGCATATGGCGCGCTTCTTCACTGGGTCGTAACGAGTGGAAGAAGTTGATTGGTGCGCAGGGCTCTTTACAACTGAACTGTAGCAAGGAGGGCTTCAATGCTGTATGTTCTTTAAGTCGTCATTCTAAAGCAAGAATTGGTTATGTAGCTAACGAGAATAACCATTGTGACTCTTGTGACTCCAGAATTGGGTTTGGTACCGGAGGATCTCCTGGTAACTCCACTACGTGTGGAAATGTAGCAGCTTATTCCCCAGATAATGGTGACAGATACATCAAAGCTATGGGATACATTTTGGTGCAGTAAACTCTTCCAATCCATGTATTACGTTAGAAAACTCACTAAGAATGGGGAAAGAGAGGGGGGCACTTAAAAAAGCCCTTTTTTATCTACCCATCCCCTCCCACTTCTCCCCTCAAACGCTAAAGTGAGAACTTGCTAAGCAGACTATAGATCGCTTGCTTTCTAGTTCGGCTTGTAAATTCATTTTCTTCCAATATGCGGCGAGCGCGAAGACGAGAAGAGACCTGAATAAGGACTTCACCCGCATGGGTTCCTTTTGTATAACCATTTGAGCCCAATGTTTTACGGAAATTCAGTCGATTGGTTGCTATAACTATTGTGATGTTTAACTGTTAAAAAAGTAGCAAAGCCAGGATAACAACACTTGAACATTTTCAGACACTCGCTAAAAATTATCACCAAGAGGCATTTGCTGACCATTTCAAAAACCACCTAATATCACCCAACCAAATCAAGATGATTATTTTGATATTTTGGTGTCGTTAAAACTGGTAAGCATGGTAAAATTAACAAAAATGACATTATTCCTTCAAGTTGAGGGCAACCCTTGATGCCAACTCCAGCCGTTACTTTCTGACGCTTTTTTTATTATTATTAATATTTTTGAGCTCAAAATTAGTTGTAGCTTTACATAGATTTACAAGTATCCTTGATATATACATGCTTATAGACAAGAACATATACTCTCAATTGAAAAGGTTTTGTCAAAGGAAAAAACCAGAAATGAATATAGGGAAAAGCCAAAGAAGAACTGTTCGGAGAAATCTAAATTCTAAGTATTCATGTTGGATAATGCAAATGTGTGAAAAATAAGTCAGAAGATAGAAGAGAAGTGCCTCAACCTAACTCACACTTCAAAGCAAATGTTCTAAAACTGTCAAATTCCTAAGAAGGAATTTTTATGCTGATCAAATCATATTGAGCTTTTTCCGTTTTGCTTTTTTGAGTATTTTTTTGACAACCTTTTTGCAGTAAGTTGTCCTTATATTCATGTTTATTCATAACTGAGATGCATTAGAACCTGTATTTAGCGGTCACCCTGTATTGAGCGGTCAGTTGTCAAAGTCTCGAATTTCTTTCCCCTCAAATACTGCAATTTTCACCTCTAATAAACGGTCACCTCTACCAAGTGGTCGCAGTCAACCTATATCTAGTCACAATGGCCTGTTTTTACTGTTTCCTACCTGTATTGAACGGTCAATGAAAGCAGGACCATTCAAATAAAACTAGGAATGATCCTTCAAGTAATTTTTTAATCCATGTTTCTCTCCCAAAATTAAAGTAAGTAATATCTTCGAGCGAGGTTTTGTACATTAAGCGGTCAATTACGGCATAAAGAGGCGTTGTTTATCGTTTTTTGCAATACCCCTAATCTGTGGAACCTGTACCAAGCGGTCACCCGCCATTTTCCGTGGGCTTCATGCAGGCTCG